AGAGGCCTGAAGAGGTCAAACTATGTAGTCTCGTACAATATTTTTTTTAAAAACGCATTCTTTTAAACATCTTGAGACCCTCCCGATTTATCTTGGGACCTCTTGTGGGGAACAACTGTTGGGTTACAGCCCTGTGTTGTATCGTATGCTTATGTTGTGATTACAGAGACGCAGCATTTATCATTTGTTTGGGTTATAAATTGAGCAAATGAGCCAACATAAATGTAGTAAGATGTGTTACTGTCCTGCTGTCACTCTAATAGATTGCTGAATTAAATAATGTGCCAACAAAAACTACTCCAAAATGAAATAGTCAAATAAGTTTGTGTCTGACCTTTGGTGTGAGACCCCCCCCCTCAATTATGTTGCTGTCTCACCAAATCATAACACAATGAAGAGTAGCCATAATCCAGACAGTTTATTTGCATTTCAAACGTTCAGTCTATCCCACATGCTGCAGGCTGAATGGACTAGTGGTCGTGTTATGATGTATGAGCAACTGACAGTGCAACCCGAGGGTGGATGTTTGCTTACATTTCAGCTATAAGAGCTCTTGTTAGTGTTTCTCCCCTTAAAGAGAACACTTATTTTTCAATTATTTGGAATGAGCTTTAAAATGCCAGGAGATTGCATTACCCTATAAGGCAGCGGGGAGTCTGGGATTGATGACATAAGCATTTATAAACACTTGCTTTTTTTGGGGGGGGGATAAGACAGTCCTGCCTTAACTTGCAACCAGAAGCCAAACACTGGAAATGATAAGATGGTAGTGCATTCATTAATTACTGCCTTTACTCTTTGTGTGGATAACGCAATTATCTTTAAGAAAGGTGCGTTGCAGAGACTTGTTGTAATTCCTATAAACCACATTTTAAGCCCAGATAACTATACTGCAGAAGAGCAGAGGAAATGAATTGGGGTTCAAGTATTAAAAGGTCTGTCAATATTATGGAACTGAAACAACTATTAAATAATTAACCAATTCATTAATATATATTTCTTTATTGAAAAAGGATTGTCTTGTAGGAGTGCCTCGTCCACACTTGAGCTTAGTTTGTCGTCATTTATAAGGCTCTCAAATGAAAAGAAAATGAGCGCTTTTTACAGCCTTCCTCTTTTTATCAAAATGAATAACATAATGAGAATAATGGAGACTAAAACAGATTACTCACCTCCTCAACACTACAGGGTAAAACCACACGGCTGCAAAAGAAAGAGAAGTGTGGTAACATTCACACAACACGTGTTTCTTAAAAGACACTGCTCAATAAGCAATTCTGCCAAATCAATTTCAACTTTAAAGTCAACAAGCTCATAACAACAAGTACAGCATTTCCTCCAGAAACAGTGTTAACTCACGGAGGAGCAGAAACACATAATTCAAATTAAAATGTACAGAACATGAACATTCAAAAATGTACCAAATCTCCACAATCTCCACACAGGAAGGAAAAATGAGCCACTGCAGAAGAAGCAGGCATGACACAGCAATGCATGCTCCATCCTGGTGTTAGAAACAAACAGAAACCTTCTCGCTGCTAAACAGGAAGCCAGTCTTGGTCACTCTTCCTCATATAAATACTCCTACTGCCCAGTCTGACACACTGCTGGCTTCAGTCAGATGAGAGGAGCCCTTCCCAAGACCAAAAAACAGTTCGAGCGGAGTAAAACTGA